GACAAATTCGCTTATCTTATCTTCATTTCCAATCCTGTCTCTGGGTGCAAAGACTTATAATTAGCATTTTCTATCAGTGTTGAAACAAATTTTTTAATAGAGTTTAATTTACTCTTTTTGTTGTAAAAAAAAAAACCATGAATGATGATGAAAACATGAATAGCAAATGATCAATGAACAAATGCACCCAACCCACACCTGTTATTAAAAGTACTGTACCTCTTAATTCATCTTTTGACATTTAATATTGCATGCATTTATCAAGCATATGCTAAACTGTGTTCTTCACAGACCCCTATCCAGAGCAGAGTGAAGACTCCGGGCAATATTTTTAGAAAAGGAAAACCTGAAAAACAAGACACCTGTCACTTGTGGAATGGTGGTGATGTGATCCCATTGTCTCTAAGATCACGTGACAACATTTTATGAAAGGGAAGACAGCTGGGTGCAGTTGACTTCTTCTTGTCTGTTTCGTAGTGTGCAGATAGCTGCTACAGTGTTCACAGTTTACATGTTTGGTGTACAGTCACCATGAAAATTGCTATTTTTGTGCTGTTTGTGTGCCTTCTTCTTCCTGTGCAGCCTGAAGAGATAGATCACTGTAAGTAAACACTACAGTCACCTTGGTTTCCTCAGTCATCAGATAATATGTAGTTCGGTTTCGTTTCTGCTGAAGAGTGCCTCTGTTAACTGTTCTATTATTAACAGACACCTACTGTGAGACTTGTTTAACAGTGGCACAAGGTATGTTGGACAATAAATCATTATGGCTAAGAGCTTTTTTATTAATGGTTTCTGATAACCCAGTAGCACAATCTAACAAATGGGATAGCCAGGAATACAAATAGAAAACAAAAGACAAAAGGAAAGGGGAAAGCAAGTCACAGTCTATAAATACCTTACAGAGCTTGAGAAATCCATCAAGGAAGCCCCAGTTAAGAGCAGAAACGCAGTTGTTAAACGCCTCATCAGTGGGGCGTTGTGTGAGAAACCTCTGCCTCACAGTCACCATGTCTCTAAGGACAAACTGACATCAGCCTGCAGACACTTGTTAGGTAAGATAACATCAGATATGTCAAGTAATTTATCTTGTATTCAAGAACTTATTCTGGATTTGCCATTCAGAGTCTCACCGTGGCCAGTTCTATGAAGCTCTGGTGAACAAAGAGCCGAAGAATCTGGATATAGCTCTGTGTTATGAGCACTCCAACTCATGTGTGGGGGTTAAACGCCAGACTTTTGAGGTAAGCTGTCAGTGAGCGAGTAGCCAGTTGTGAAACGTGAACTTCATGTTTTTCAAGTACACAAATTTGCTCTTAACATTTTGCTTTTGTGGCAGGATTCTAAAGGCGCTTTTACTGAAAGTGACATTGATGCTTTACTTCGGGACAACAAGGAAAATGTTTGCATTGCTCAGCCGATACATTCAGGTTCCCCTGTGCACACAGGAGATGAACTCTGAGAATTTCAGCATCATTTACTGTTTACTACTGTAAATTCTGGACATCAGTAAAATAAATAAATCACTAAAAACACATAAACCAATAATTTTGTCTTTAAATTATACCTTATGCTGTGTTGAGTTGTCACTTTTCTAAAGAATTTATTCAGCCTCAGATAAGGAGTGTATATTCATTAATGAACAAATTATATAAAATTGATAAAGGGGAAGTTTATATTTCAAGCCTTGGGAAGCCCTCACTTTTCCCTGACAGAAGCAGGAACTTCCAAAGTGCATCTGAAGTGATTTAGCCTGTTTTCCTATGTCTTTATTAAGATAATACGAGGTCTGTTGCCTGCTGGAAAATGAATCTATATATTCTTTGCCATTTGCAGTCACCTGTTTACAATAGGAATTCTAAAACATTTTTAAGGTGCTCCCACTTGACTTCATTCTTTTCTTCTTTATTATTCTTCGGGATGTTACTAACCATTAAAACAACAACAATTTCTAATGCACTTCTTTCAGAAAATTCATAGAAAAATGCAAAACTCCAAAAAATAAAAAATAAAAGTGGGACACAAAGGAAGACATAAGGATGTATTATTGCACTATAAGCAATTTCATCACAAGTGTGCAGATTCAATATCTTCTTCAGAAAAGTAGTTTGCCTTTTGGACACCAAAAATCCAGGCCAGGCAAATACAACCACAACAATAAAGACTCCACAGTTACAGAAATTCAAGGTATTAACAATAAGTAATAGTAAAAACAAACCACAGCTGTGTGCAAATCACACCCATGTAATATCAGCTGTGTTACCTTGGGATGGTTGTAACTAAGGTGGCTCAGGTAAACTACTAACCGGAAGGTTGGTGGTTCGATCCCAGTCTGCTCCATGCCAAATATCCTTGGGCAAATACTAACATCATGGTGCTCTCTGATGCATCTATTGGAGGTGTGAATGTCTGATATGAAGCACTTAGGAACAGCATAGAAAAAAGTGCTTGTGTGAATGTACAAGTTGTATAAAGTGCTTTGAGTGCTCAGATAGAGTAAAAAAGCGCTATAAGAACCAGTCCATTTACAAGGTATAAAAGTCCTCTGGGCACACGATACATACAAAAGTGGTACCCTGTACTTCTGTCATGATGTTAGCAAGGTGTCTTCACGATGAAGAAGGTGTGACACATTGCTAAGGATACATCACCCCTTATTCACCACTCAGGACTCCCAAAGGTGAATCGTACTGTGTTGTAGCTGACCTCAAATCTTTCTGTCCATGTTTGTAATCCTACTCAGTTTGTTCTTGTTAACTACAGACAGTGAAAAATACCATGCAATAAAACAAGAAGTTAGAATGCTCTCTGCAAAAAAACTAACAAAAAAGAAAAAGAAAAAAAGAACCAGCGTATGTCTGTCTCAAACTCCTCTTGAAGTATAATCATTGTAATCTAGCTTTTGAATCCTGCCAGTTTTTCTTCAGTCACTGTCCCTAAGTACTTGTATTCTTTTACATCCTCAGTACAGTCACCGCTAACTGCCATCTGTTGATGATGAAGGACTCAACTCATCTGATGATTTTGCTGTTTACCTTTAGCTATGACAACCTATGCACTGACCTTTGCAGTCTTACAGTTTTTAATGCATGTGTAACATCGATAAACATGTTTCATTTTATGTGGTTTGGAGGACAGTGTATTCTGTGTAATACACACAACAGAGCATCTTCTTTGCTCCCACTCCTTTTATATGCGCATAATTGGTTGTAAAATGTGAGAAATTTGTTGCACACATTACTAGAAGGCGCACCTGTTTTGTCACTTCATATTTAGTGGTTGTCTTGCAGAAGAGGACGATTAAAATAGGACTTAAATTACATAAATTCATTAATTCATAAAGTTTCAGACTACAAAACGCTGCACAATGTACAGTAAGGAGAGTGGTACATAAATTACATTATTTTCCCCCAAGATCATCCAGTTTTTTTTAATACTTGGCACATTAAATAATTCATCTAATCACTCATAACAATAAATAAATAAATTATATACATTATAAAATTTTAAACTGAGATTTGTTTAACACAGTAGAGAATAGCTGCAAGCAGATCATATTAATGATATTTATGTAGACTCATTTGCCAAGAACTCGTTATCCTCTTGAGCACTATTAACTCGAGGCTATGAGCAGATAACAACATAGTAAAACAAAGAGCGTGTGATAAAGTAGCCCTGCTAGGATATAGCCTAATTCTATTGCATTCACTGAGAAATGAAGGGGAAAAGAGGGCAGGTGGCATTGAGCTTATTGGAACGAGAGCCTTTGACTTGCTCGGGGAATCAGATTGGAACGTGGCCCGCGTGCTGTTGCTAGGAGGCGCTGTTGGAGCCCGGAAGAGTTGAGCATGGTGATGAAGACGATCGAACCGAGATTGAGGAGAGAGACGTGAGTCTCACCGATAAAGCCTCCAGTTTGTGTTTCCCTGCGACATCTGTCCGTGTCTGACAGTCCCTGCTGGAAGACAGGAGGGCGATATTAGTGTTTCTCCACTGAGTAGGTAAGAATAAGCGCCGGGTATCCGCTGTCATTCTGCAGGGGGTATCTGCACTAAGACGTCTTTTTTAGCTTCCAAAGACAGCAAAATTGGATAATGCTTAAATATTAACATAAAAGCTGCCGAAATTAAGCTTTCTCTGTAATACCAGATACACAAAGAAAACGATCCCCACCTCTGCTCTGCCGGATGGAAGAACAAGCGTGGATTGGCTAGTGTAATTAGGCGTCTGAAGACCAGCAGCAGCATCATTAGGACCTGCTGGTTGAATTCAAACCTGTCCAATAGATTAGATATGCTGCATAGAGCCAGTAACACTCACGCTTATTGCAAAGGCACATTGTTTTAATTGAATCCACACAGGAGCTGTCTGCTTACGCAAACGCCCTACCTGTCTGTGAGTAGTCTGCAGACTACTGTCATTTGCTGACAGACATTTCAGAAATAGAAACAGTATTGATCAGACACACGAGTCCCTTTTGCATTTCCACAAAACATGGAAATGGAAGACAGGCACCAGCAATGTATGACAGAAAGCAAAGGAATGGCAGGAATGTGATGAGTGTGATAAAATCACAGAGGACAGACAGACTGGCTTTTGTTGTAGGTGATTTGTCACATTTACCCACATGGTTTCGGCTCGTCGGTCAAACCCCAGTGTAGTGCAGCCTCACACGGACCCTCCCTTTTAATCTCTCGCTCTCCATTTAATTTAACAGCTCGGCCACGAGGCTACATGGTGTGTGTGTCCTACTCAGAGTGTGGATGTGCGGGTGTCCAGAGATGGAAAGCTATGAGGAGTTCTGTCTGCGGAGTCTGGCATTATTGCAGGAGGAGGGGAAATTCAAGAAGACTACATGCGAGCCATCATGTTCCCTGAAGGCTCGCTCTGTCATCCACTTCTATGGAAGAGCTGCGCTTTCACCTCTGGTAAGGAAGAGATAGACAGGCTTGGAAGCCCATGCTAAATGGATTACACAAGATGTAGATGCATGTGAGAGTTCACAGTTTAAACTGAATGAAACATCTGTTTGTGAGCAAATCTGATGAATGAATATATGAACTGCTTTATGACAACAGAGCTTCTCACAGGAGATTTTTTGGCTTGCCATAAAACTGTAAAATGCATTCCATTTAGGTAAACTTACTCGTGCATCCATTTCATTTACTGCTAAGACAAGCCAAAGCCTCTGCTGTGGGAACAGCCTGTTAGGTCAGCAGCTGGCAAAGGGAAACAGTGCGAACGTGGAACATCAGGGCTGTTTGATGTTTGTTAGAAAAATCTATTCGCTTGTGATTGCTGACTAAATAAGTTTGCAGGAAGAGTCCAGCATCAGTCTCTCTTCCATCCAGAAGAAGATACACAAAATATACTGGAAGAAGGCTGAATTCTTCCAGTATATTTCTCATCTGTAATAACATTTTTAGGTACAAAGTGAAAAACTGTGCCTCTTTTAGCTGAATAAACATGCGTATTTTTGAAAATTAAATGCTGAAAAACAAACAACAAAAGCCGCAACCGAATGTATTTTCATTTTCCAGCTGAATGCAGAGCAGTGGAACGAGATGTGTGGCTACAGACAGAAGGCGGTCCAACTGGAAGTGGACAGACAGAACCAGCAGAGGAACAAGCTTTTGGCCAGGATTCAGGGCATACTGGATCAGGCTCAGGTCAGTTGCACACTATGGTCACAGGTCTGGGTGTCATCTGGTAGGGTGAGAGGCCTATTTAGGATAAGATCAAAACATGCTTTGTGAGTACAAACCCAATTCCACACTTTGTCAAATGTAAATGAAGGTCTACCATTTTAAGCAAAAAAGGAGATTATTTAGATTTTGATGGCAGTAACAAGTCTCAAAAACTGTGAGAGGGCCATGTTTACCACTCTGTAATGTTGTATTATACGCAGCATGCGTAGTCATATTTTCCGGAAACATAAAGTGCCATTCCATCTATACGCAGATGGCTGCCAGCTCTACTTACCTTTTAGTCATTCTGATAGTCTCCCAACTCAACCTCTGCTTGATTGCCTTACTGATGTCAATGCATGGATGGTAAAAAACATTTTAAATTTTAATGATCTGAAGACAGAAGCAATTTTATTTGGCCCAAATCGTTCTTCTCATACTCCAGATGTTGATCTTGCAGCTTTGACTTCCCAACTAAAGAGTTCGATCACAAATCTCGGAGTTAAAATTGATTCTGCACTTACCTTTGATGACCATGTAAACGGGGTGGTAAAATCAGCATTTTATCACCTCAGACGTTTATCAAAGGTTAAGCCCTTTCTTTCCAAGCGTGACTTGGAAAGTGTTATTCATGCCTTTATTACCTCACGTTTAGATTATTGTAATTCTCTTTTAAAGGGGTTGGGCAGGGCACTTTGTCACGCTTGCAATTAGTGCAAAATGCTGCGGCACGATTTTTAACTGGCAGAAGAAAATTTGATCACATCACTCCGATTTTGGCCTCTTTACACTGGCTTCCAATTGAATTCAGGATCCGTTTTAAAGTCCTTTTATTGGCTTTTAAATCTCTAAATGGTCTGGCACCTGTTTATTTGTCTGACTTGTTGAAGCCCCACGTCCCCACTCGTTCCCTTCGGTCAGCTGAGCAGTTGCTGCTTTCGGTCCCAAAGTCACGGCTGAAACTTAGAGGAGACCGAGCGTTCTCTGTTGCCGCGCCGATGCTTTGGAATAACCTTCCTCTCCATATTAGACAGGCTACATCAGTGCCAGTTTTTAAGTCTTTATTAAAAACCTATTTTTATTCCCTGGCTTTTAACTCTGTGGGTAACTGATATTCTTTTTATTTTTTTTATTGCTATGTCTGGTTTTATTACTATGTGCATATTAGTATTGTACAGCACTTTGGTCTACCAGGTGTGTTTTTAAAGTGCTATATAAATAAATAAATGATGATGATTGTCTTGCTAAAATATGCAAGAAATATGCAAGACCTTCCCCCAAAATACATAGATAGGAGTGTGTGTTGCTGTAAGAACTGCATACACCATCAGAGATGCAGGCTTTTGAACTGAGTGCTGATAACAAGCCAGATGGTCTCTTGCCTCTTTAGTCCAGGTGTGGCGTCCATGTTTTCCAAGAAGAATTTCAATATGTCTGACCACAGAATTGTTTTCCACTTTGCCTCAGTCTATTTTAAATGATCATGTCCATATAAAGCTTCTTCTTTGCATACAAGAACTTCAACCTGCTTTTCTGGAAACCTTCCTCTAAACCTTTTAATGTTATTAGTTGTGGTCCCATGTCCCACCTTGTTTTTAGGTGTGGTGCTGCTATCAAATTCAAATTTAGCTAATATTTTTGATTAAATAGTAAATATATTTGATATGTTTTCCATGTTCTGTTGGCAATGACATATATGAAAATCATTGCATTCTGTTGTATTTATCTTTTACCATCATTCCAACTTTCATGGAATTGGGGTTGTATAATGTTATGTAGGCACTCTGAAAAAGTGCTGGACTCTCGTGCTAATATTATTATGCTGACATCGCGTCCTGCTTTTACTGAATGTAAATAGTTTTGGGGCTTTTGACCTATAGTATATATTAAATAGGTTTGTGTGCCAGTCCCATAATGGAGCACATAAAGTGAATTACAGTCTGTCCTACTGTCTCTGGTGACATACTCAGAGTTGAATACAGGTTATTTGGCCTAACATTTTCCCCAGTGTGCCGTGCTATTTTTTACCTGATGACGTGTTTTCATAACAGCTCAAGATTCAAAGCAGTATTGTTCATTTACTCAGTGTCAGATTTGCTCTACTTTCGTAATTCCCAGTCTTTGAACAAATGTGATCTAAAGATTTTGTCTGTTATCGTTCACAATGGAACAACCAAAACTCAAGCATGTAATCACATTTTCATTAAAAAACTAACATCAACAAATAAGCTAATTATGTTACAGACCATTTATCACATGATTTTAGGGCTGCCACAAACGATTATTTTGATAGTCGACTAGTCACCGATTATTTTTGCGATTAGTCGACTAATCAGATCATCATCCATTGGACGTACAGCGTACAGCTTATTGCACCAGCAGCATCTGGTCTTATATAACTATCATTAGCTTACAGCTTGAAGTGTTTGTGCTAACTAAAAATAAAGACAAGATGGTAGTTTATTAATTTTTAATGAAATTTGCAGATTGTTTCGGTGAAGTTTAATAAACTCCTTGCTTTCTAAAATATAACAGGACACCGGAGTATATTCTCCAGCGTCTCACACTTCTGATAATCAGCTGTCTGCTTGACAGTTTTAGCTGTGCAAAAACTATAACTTTAATCTCAGCCAAACCGATTTACTCAGGAACAAATAAAATACTAAAAAAGCCAAACAATAACATTTTTAAGTTATCTAAGTGACTTATATATATGTTTAACCTGAGTAGCGAAAGACGGCGGTGGGTTTGAAAACGATTTGCGGGAGTCCGGTGTTCTCACGGCTAGTGAGCCTAGCCCCCGGCTAGCTAATCGAGCTAGTGGGTAACAGACGTCTCCGAAAACGTCGGAGCGCTTTTGAAAATATGTGGTGTCCTTGATAAACTGAGCAGATATTTGAGGTTTACACAGCTACATTCTCGCCTGAAAATATGTTAAACGTTTATTTTGTGACCCAGAAAGAATAATAAGAGTAATATTAAAACTAACTAGCTGCCGCCATTGTTGGAAACTGGCTGGGCTGCGCTATGAATTCTGGGACACAGCTTCTTCTTCTTCGGGGTTTAACGGCAGCTGGCATCCTTGTACATGCAGTGCTGCCATCTTCTGTTTCAGTCCGTTATTACACTCTTAAATCCTACTACTATTCCTGCGTCCTTTGTGATCTTACAAAGCTTCAAACGAGCGTCGACTATTAAATTAGTCGTCGACGATTTTAATAGTCGACATAATCGTGACTAGTCGACTAATCGTGGCAGCCCTACTTGATTGTAATGCTGTAAAGCTCAGCATGTAATGCTGAGCTTACATGCGTTTTAATGAAATTCTTTGGTGAAATACTGCTTTTTATGTTTCACAGGTGCTTAAAGTACCAGATGAAGAGGTTGACAAGTTGCCAGTTTCTAAATCTGCAACAGTCAACGGCTACACTCTGGTCACTGACTCACCTGGGCTCCCCAAAGATGCTGCATTTGGGGTTCAGACAAATAGTCATCGTGCTGCTCCATGCTCTGAGATTCCTGTGCTTAATGATTATAAGGCAGTGGAGGAAGTGAAGGTGGATGCCCAAGAGAAGAGTGAGGAGGATGAGGAAGAGGATGAGGAAGAGGACATTAGTTTGGACAGCCTTCTTAAGAGATCAAGGGAGTATGTGAAGAAAGAGCAGAGTCAGCAGGGATCAAAAGCTGTCCGCGCAATGACCCAGTCTCCCCCACCTGAGACTGACTCTGTCAGTGAAGAGAAGAGCTGCAGCCCTGTGACGGACACAGGCATTCAGTTTGGATTCAGTCTGCACCACAGCCCTGTCGGCCCGCCTCAAATCCAGCATCAAGTGCTGCGTGACTCTAGTCCTCAAAAGTCCATCTGCCTCTCACCTAGTCTACCAGAACCATTTTCTTGTCTCCCCAATCCAGAGACCAGCATAAGTCCTCGTCCACAGAGACGCAAACCACGCCCAGTTTCCACAGGCAACATCCATTTTTCATTTCCCATTGGCCCAGCAGACCTTATCGCTCGAAGCCCAGGACGGTCAGAGGAAGCCATTGGTGTGGCAGACTGGGGAGATGCTTCAATGTCTCCATCTCACTGGAGCTCAGTGGGAATAGAGGGCGTCAGCCAGAGTGGCATTCGTCGATCCAGCCACTGTGGAACCAGTCCAGTGAAGGAGAACTGTAACCCTGTCAGTGCCTCGGTGCCCAGCTCAATGGGTGATCACCTGGCTGCAGGTTTTCGCCGGCGCTGCCACACTATGGACAGCCAGCTGCATACCTACCATTCTGGAGTGCAGCGCATAGACCGCAGCCAGGAACGCCTCCCTCGCTTCATGGCAGGAGTTACACTGTTTGCTCCCAGTCGGCGAACACCTGCAGCCCCTTTAAACCAGTCGTATGATGTAGAGAATCCTTCACTGCCTCTGCTGAGGCCCTGTGTGACTCTTGCAGACGAATCTCCGGGGCCAAACAATGGCAGGAAAACACCGACTGTCCTCAGACATGCAGCTGAAGCACAGGCCCGCAAGACAGGTGAGTGCCTTTGATGTAAGCTATTTCTTTTTTTTTATGTTTACAACTGTGTAACTCCCACTGAGATTTCTGATTCCCACATTTATATATTTTATGTTAAGTGAGTAAAACTCTGACATGGTAAAAGATGATTTATTTGTATGCATTTGTGCTTATTAACAGATGAGAACCAGTGGCGAGCGCAGGCTCTGGAGGACATGCAAAGACGTCTTGAGAAGGAGCATGCTTTGCAGATGTCTCTGCTCCTCGCTGAGCAGGAGAAAG